ATTTCACATTTGAGGCCAAATCAGATATGTGTTTAGTTTAATATAAAATTTGAAATTCCCTTTGAATTTTCATCCATTTTCTCTTTAGTAAACCACCCTGGAAACATTATAAATCAGTTTGTTTCAGGAAAGAATTCAGACACATGAAAAATAACCCCTTTTTAACCATTTACGCTGTCTTTATGACTATGTACATTTTTTTATAATTCATCAATTTATTCTGTGGATTTTAGATTTTTCTGTGGATCACAGTGCCATTTCTAAATAAAAACAGACTAGAATCAGTTTATGAAGGTAAATAGCATGAAACAACTGTCAGAGATGAAAGAACCATTGAAAGTGACTTCAAACTCGGCAACCAGGGAAGTTTAAAAAACAGATAAATACTGTATCGTATATAATGGTCTGACTGGCTCCTGCTACTATATATATTTGTGTTTTATAAATAGGTTGATCCCAAATGCAAAACACTATGTGCTCCTAGATTTTATTTTGTCTGCTAAATGCTATCAGTGTTTCTCAACCTTTTCCATAGAAGTACCCCTGCAGGTCTAAAAAAAATCCCCTGTTCAAGAAAGTAATTTTTATTGATTTAAACTCCGAATGAAATGTGTAGACACTGATATTTAAGTCGATCCCATATTAGAGAACAAGCCTGATAAACGATAGTAAAGAATATTTTTTGGTATTCAAAGCTGTTTATTGAGCAAGGCAAAAAGTATGCTTGAAAATGGAACAACCATATTGGACACGCAGGTCCTAACGTTAATGTCAATGCGAACATAGTAAACAGAGAGATACAGCTATATAGTTTTCTGTAATCCAGGCTAAATACCAGCGTAATGTGCATCGTTGGACAGTGATAGCAGAGACAGTGTCTTGACCAACTCCTTGCAACAGGAGGCAAGGTTGTTGCTCACTTGCAATAAAACATTAACCAGTAAACAGTACCTAACGGGTATAGAGCGTATGATGATTGTACGGCAATACGTATGCGGAGTATCTGTTGGCCACGGTGTCTGTGAGCAGATAAATTCCAGCCCTCCCATCTGTGTGTGGGGGCAATTGTAGAAGCTTAGAAAGGGAAAAATAAAGGATGAAGTCACAGCAAGGAAAATGAATGGGCCAATGGAAAAGAGAAAGATGGGGAGAAAAGGCGGTTGAAGGGGCAAAGGTGGAAAAGAGGGGGGGGGGGCAGAGGTTAGGAGCTAGCCCACCTGCCTGGAGTATGCTTCTGGTTGTTGGGGTTAAGCCATGTAGTGGTTAGGGTATCAAGGATGTATCGGTCAAGAGTGTGGTCCAGAAGCGGGATAGGAGTGATCCAACTCCTCTTATGCCAATGTCTCACCCCCCGACCCGCCACATAAGCCAACCACGGCCACCACCTCTCCACGTGCCTCTCCTCAGTTCCCAGCAGCGAGGCTTGCACAGACTTCGCCATGTATATCTCCTCCACCCTGTCCTTCCATTGTACCATCGTAGGGGTTGTGTCCTGCTTACAATGTAGCGGGGATCAAGGTTTTGGCAGCATTGAGCAGATGTCGAAGGATTTACTTTCTGTAAGCCGCAACAGTAGTTGACGTGTAGTGTAGAAGTACCGTTTCCATGTCGAAACATCCCGTATCACCAAGGATCTCCTCCATTTTCTCTTTTACCCCTTCCCAGAATGACACAATGCGCGAGCATTCCCACCATGTATGCGTTATCGTTCCTGGTCCCTCTTCGCACCTCCAGCAGACATTAGGCACAGCTGAGAAGATTCAATGCAGGCTGTCCAGAGATCTGTACCAAAACTCCAGAAACTTATAGTTGGTTTCCTGACATTTGGCACTAGAAGAACACTTGTGGTGGAGTATGAGTATCTTCTCCCACTGAGCCGCTGCCAACGACTTGTCCAGAATACGTTCCCATCGCCGCGGAAAGTGTCTTTATTCTCCAGATATCCGACGAGGAGGTGCTGGTATAGAAGGGACACTGCTCTATCCAGGGTGGTCGTGCTGTCACAAAACCCTTTGAACCATGTTAGGTGTAATGCATCCCTGTTCGTAAGCTTATGGTAAAAATGCATGATTTATGTGTATCGGAATGTTTGCAGGCTCAAATGGGATTGTGTGGTATGCGGGTCAATGTGCTTGGCGTTGGAGATAAATGGGGGGCTCTCCTGATGCTGCCCCAGGTCTTCAGAGTTTGGGCCACTGTAGAGGTGGGTCAAGATCCGCTTGTGCTGACCTTTTTAAATTCCACACTGCATGAGGAGGGAAGGGCACAGGTGACCTTTATCTAGTTCAACCCATTGTTTGTGTGTCGGGTGGGTATGCCATTCCAATATCCGCTGTAGGACCATCGCCTGGCGATATTTGTGTAGGTCAGGGAGTGCCAGGCCGCCCAATTCCCTTGGTAGGCAGAGTAGTTTGTGACGGAGTCTCGGCTGGCCTCCAATCCGAACGAAGCGTATCATAGCGAAGTAAGCCATAGGTAGAGCCAGAGGAAGTATTTGGTAGAGGTATAAGATCCGGGGCAGAAGTGGCTGAGGCAGGAGAAGCGGGTGCCATCTTGGAGTCGCGTGCCTCGCTGGTAGGCCTCAGCTGGGTCTGCAGGTATTCATCCATCAGCCCCGTCTGCGGCGATGTGGGAGCATCCCTGGGAGTCTGCGGGGGCTCCAGTCGTTTGTTGTGCCCCATGGGGTAGGTTTTCACTGCCGCAGGTAGCTATTAGAAGCCTAGTGGCGAGGAGCTTGGGTCTCAGGCGTAATTCGGACCTCAGACCACGCCCCCAAGAATATTTTTTTAACTATGACACCATTTGAATATTATGCAGGTAAGGAGAAGTGTATGAACTATTAATCTCAAGTATAAAAATGAAAATATGCACGCTTAATAGTTACACACAGAGGACACTGACACACAGGCACACAATTACTCACAGAGGACATTGACACACATTTACCCACAACTGAGACTAAAACACACGCACACAATTACTTACAGAGGACACTGACATACACAGTTACACACAGAGGACACTGACACTGAAACACACAGTTACACACAGAGAATACTGACACATACATCTACATACAGAGAAAACTGACACACACACACTCATTTATACAGCTAACACACATTCACTGACAGACACAGACGCATTCTCTCACACTCACTCATAAATTATTATTCTTATTTTTATTTATGTCCACTCAGCCTTTCCCTGGGGGCTAGAGTGACTACTGCCATCTTTATGGTCTTCTTGTTGTGCTCCGCCTCCCACGCACTCTGTTTAGTGATGCTGAGCCCGAGTGGTATTATAAACTGACTTGTGGGATCACTGCAGGATGCAATTCTTGTCTTCGGACACAGCACATTTGGGCCGAGTAGACCCAGAGAGGGCCCGTGCCTGCTCTGTCTTAGCACACAGCTGTCCCCCTCTTGGCGTACCTCCTGTTTGTAGTGAATGTACCAATGTGCTATAGGATATAAAATATATCCAAATTATGGCCTTTTCATATTAATGTGAAAATGTCTTTCAAAAATGTGTTAAAATGTGATTTAATTTGTATGTAATGGTAAAATTGATTGTAAAACAATTAGCAGCAACTTTTCAATGCATTTCTTGCAAAATTCTTATATGTCCATTTGAAAGGAAGATGTTTATTATCCCACTGCTAAAACGATCTGTCTACCCAGGTGTAATAACGTGCATATTCTGATTACCATACGTTTATGCAATATATTTCTTGGTGACGTGCTCCCAGTGTTTGGGGGGTTTTTTAATTTATTTTTACAGGTTTTTTTAAATTTTATTTTATAACATGTTATCAGTCATTTTCATTCTCTTTATCTTCTATGAGAAAGTAAGAAGCGAATGCAGGTCGGTGAACAGTGAACGTTATATTACAATAAAACTTTAAACCTCTTCACACCTTCATTTTGCACCATATTTACTAACTTGTGCAAAGTCTGGTATTACTTCTGGGCAGCTCAATACATTTATATCAGGGGATGAACTGTAAACAAAGGGTTAAAGCACTGTGATGATGATGTATTTAGGTAATAATTCCATTCAATTATTTATTTTACCTGCTATAGACTGAACGCTGTGTTATATGTTCGTGCCCTTACCATTATGGTGTCAACATTCACAAAACAAACCTTTTATTGACTATATTATCTGTTTAATGCTGCGATTGCTATTTATCCTGTTACAGTGCGATGTCCGACTCCTTCCAATGCTGGCCACTCTCAGCTCCTTTTAAAGCTTTTTCACGTATCAATGCCAGCTTGTGCCATCTGTCACGCCATGACTGTACATGGCACAACGCTCTGTGAGTTACCTGTGTCATTGTTAGCAGCAAATCCTCTATAGCCTCTATAACGCTGCCTCTCCCGGGTTGGACTGAGCCTTTCAGTTTGTTACTGTGCTCGATACGATCCAACTGCTGCTGTGCGAATTATGTCATTGACTTTGTCCTCCTGGAATATCCTTGTCCCCCTTTAATGCCGTTTACCTGTTGGCAGGTATTTGCCATAATTTTCTCAATCTGTGTAACGGGATGTAACCTGAGAGAGCATTATAGAAAAGTTACACTAAAACTTTACTACTTTAATTCTACGTGTCTGCTGTTTTTATTTACCCGATGTCTGCCTTCCTACCTCTTTCTTTACGTATATTTTTCTGTTTTAAAATGAGAACTATAAGGATTCGGGAAATGATCTGAAGATCTTGCATTTTATTTGTACTAGTTTTTGAGTGAATTTTTGTTTTGTGTTTATTAAGAATCTCTCTCTTTTTTTGTATTAATTTCTGACTTCCATATCGAATTCTTATTTTTTTTCCTGTTTTCTTTTTTTTACGCTTCCTTTGGCAGATTTGTAGCTACAGCAGCACCTTTATTAGTCGCCCCCTATTTCGCTTTGGATGAAGGAAATGCGGAGAGAGAAAAAAACGTTGCCGAAAAAGTGGTGAATCCATGGAACAGCAACCCAGCTGTGATGGTTGACACTGTACAGTATCTGAATTCAAGATCTGGTCGCTTACTGAAATAGGGTTTTGTGTCCGTTGACTTTCACAGCGCGCTTTGCCCAGTAATGTGGGTCCAGGTGGTTTCTTTACAATGCTGCAATACATTCAGCCATCCACCACTCAGCTCTCTCCTCATTCCACATTACACACGCAATAAAGGGTAGGGCTGTGAGCAGCTTGGAGTGAACAAGGCGTCTTTCTTTCAGTGCCGCAGCCCGCGGCATCGAGCCTTGCTTTTCATTTTCAGTTCCCCTGGAAGCAATGTTCTGCGCCTCTCAATGGGCCCTTGTTCCCCGGATGGAGCAAGGGGAAAAGTGAGAGGAGACAGGAAATGTCAGCCTTGACCCTTCCTCTGTGTTCTTTCTGGAGCATTGGGTTAGACGTAGCCACTGTCACATATATATAGAAACCCTAAAACTTCCCATCATGCATTGTGATGCCGAACACAGTCTGCTCTATAGCGTACACATGGCAATTTACGGATTTCCAAACAGTCTTCTTTTGGAGACTTTGTCTTTTCTTTATTTTCTACTGACTTGGCTCCGTTGACCACGTGTTAAAAATGTCAGACAGATAGCATTCTGTGTAATACGCTGGGAAAACATACCCTGTTGTTGGAAAAGCTTTAGATTGCAAATAAAAGCACAACTTTGTATTTTTTTTTATTTTATTTTTTTTTGCATGACAGCTCATGACAAAGAGGAGCTTCAGACTTCCTTCATTGCAGAAGAAAAACAAATCATCTAGCCTTCGCTAGCTCACCTGCCCTCGCACTGTCATTTCAGCATTCCTCATTTGTCCAGTCTGGTTTGTCTAGACTCGTTGATCCAGTAATAAATGGTTTGGGTTCTGTGACGGGAAACGTGTATCTTGGTTTATGACCACTTTCAAAAACAGATCCTGAATCTCTTGGTGTTGTTCTTTTTTAATAACTTTGACTGTTTCTCTTAAATATAACTTACAAAAGTCTCCAGAACACGTATAAAGCAGATTACACACACGCTAGTGATCGTGGTCATCAAAGTGCTCAAATACGAGATTTCACATACTACACCATTTTTATTTGAAGCATTTTTATGTAACATTTTTATGTAACAAATGTGAAATATGAAGCAAATAGGGGGAAAAATTCAAGGAACACTCTGCTCCATAACCACTTCATTGGAATGAAGGCTTTATGGTGGTAGGAGGTCCCTGGTGCCAACTTACCTTCATGGGTTAAAGCGATTGATTGGCTTGGAGTGTCAGCTGACTATCTCAGCCAGTCAATGGCGCCCCCGGCTGAGGCTTCCTGTGTCAAGAATGTCAGAGAAGTGGAAAGGCAATGGCACAGCCAACCATCTACTTATGTGTTTGTTTGTTTGTTTTTGTTTTTTTGTTTATGAACTTTAATCAAACACTTTTTTTTTTTTTAACTTTAATCAAACAACTTTTTTTTTTCTTTTCTTTCTCCTTAAAAAACTACTTTCTCACCCTCGTTTTCACATTTAAATAATTTAAATGGACTCATCACCTTTATAACATCACTCCCATACTCTTGAATCCTAATTTTGAAAAGTGATTTTAAAAATTGTCTCTGATTGGCCAATTACACTTTTGGCGCAATTTTCAAATTAACATAGCCCTATTTAAACAACCCCTGCCAGGTTACTACTTTTATCCCATTCTGAAGAAGCCACTTATGGTGAAATGCGTTTATGGTTATTAATTCTGTATTTTACTGTGTATTTTAGATCAATAAAAGTTTTTTGGCTACTTTATTGTACCAATCCTCTTTTTATTGCACTCTTTATGCACTTTAAACAACTTTTTTTACCTATTCCTGGCATTTTAACCTTTCCTGGTTACTTTTACTTCCACTGGCAATTTTAAAGTTCCAGTACTCCAAGAAATCCTAGGTGGGGATCATACCACCGGCGCCTATCCATAGAGCAGTACCTCTGCTCTATCTTTGTGAGTATTATTTTATTTTCTCTACTACTCTCTTAACCTATCACAATTGAGAGCACCATTGCTGCTTTTTATTCTTCTATATTGGAGCCTTGGATCACCAGACGGTGCTGACGGACGTATCGCCGCTACATATCCTATAAGTGGGGATTATACCGCTGTACGGTATCCACACCAGAGCTGGCCATAGCTCCCTCAAATGTGAGTTTTTTACCTCTTCTTATCTGCACATTGAACCACATCAAAATTGAGAGCACTATTGTTGCTTTCTGTCTTTCTTTTCCGAGTTCTGGACTACCAGACGGTGTTGACGGAGACCCCCTCCCTACATATCCCATAAGCGGGGATTATACCGCTGTACGCAATCCACACCAGAGCTGGCCATAGCTCTCTTGAATGTGAGTTCTTTACTTTTTGTTACCTATCACACCCTGAACTTTCATACTATACCATTAGTCGCCTCTACCTCTCTTGTATTTACATATACGGAACGGTCTACACTAGACGCATCCACAGAGGAACTCTATCAAGTATCCTAGACCATCTATTGGCACCCTAGCAATACTTTACTGGACTATCTACCCTTATTTGGCACAGCCCTTCCATATCTTTTAGAGCTAAACAGTGCTGGATTCAAGACCAGTTTTCACCAGTTTCACAAGTTTTCCTTTAAAGCTTTTTCTACAATATACAATAAACTGACTATAATCGATGGGCAGTTGGTTAACAACCATAGATTCTGTGCAGACTGCCTACAGGTTCAGCCAACCTGACAGTATGTACCTTCACTTGCTTGGCACTCCCTCCAAGCCCACAGTCTTCTTTTATTTTATTTTACAGTAGAGGTTCATTATACAACTATATGTACACAAAAACAGAATTGTACATCATTTCATCCCAGTATTGGACCGGGCTCAGGAGCATTCATAAATCCCACACCGCATCATGCGCGTTTAGAATTTCTCCAGTATTTGCAATGTATGCCCAAACTTGGCCGGCAAATTATGTCAATTTATGCGAGTAAAAAAATATAAAATTAGAACTATAATTTTTGTAATAAAAATTTGACACACCCAATAGCTATTTTTTGGTCCTATTAAATTCAGACAAGTGACAGATCCTTGTTAAATTATATTAGTTCAAATCACCACATAGTAACTTTATAATAACCAACAAATTATATAGTAGTGCTCTCTTGATCTCTACATATGCCTGTACTTCTTCTATCTAGAATATCTGCATATTTTATCACCGACATTGATGCTTTTAAAGGTACAGTACATTTGGGTACCTCCCATCACCTACTGACGCCACAAATTTAGAACAAAGTGCTTATAAATCTAAGAGTTGTCATTGGAAAAACAAGGCCAGCAGTTTTAGTGATCTGACTATAATCTCCTTAGAATGTAATCTCAGTGTATAATAATGCAGTTACTTACATTGTCATTCAATAAACTCAGAATTTTTACAAAATTAAATCCAAACAGAAGAACTGGCAAACATAGCTGATCTCAAAAACAAGTCCAACTATACCATACTTACAGTTTACCGATTTTTACCTTGGTTTTGCCATTAGGAATTCACAGAAAGTCTGAGTTTATTAAATATCCCCCTTAAAGATGACATTGCAACTAATCTTCAGAATAAAACATTTTCCATTTTGAATGAATATTAGCTGTCATTGAAACATCACTATTTAATTTGAATGCCCAGACGAACCAAATTAAAAATAAGTCCTTGTCCTACATTCTGAAACCCAGTAAAGAGTTTTGTTAGTGTAAGCGAGCACAAAGGCGATTCATTCCAGAAATTATTATGTTTGTAACTCTTTGTATTGGAAGTTTTTCCCCCCTAAATTGGAAGGTATGTTGGGAATAGGTCATATGCTGTGTGTTGTGGGGAATAGAAAATCCACATTGCTAAATTAGGATCGAAAACTCTCTGCCGACATCATCACGAGCAGTCCTTTTGTCTAAAATTCCACTGGAAACTGTTAGACGATTACATTTATTCTCAAATGTCAACAGAGTATGTACAAATTAGTGATAACCACAGTATAAACTAAAATTCTAACAAATATATTCAGGTTTATTCACTCCGTAAATTTAAAATTATAAAACTTCTCCAATGTCTGTAGACATTCTGTAATGGGATTTTAGTGTACTCATTCTATAATGGGATTGGATTGTACTCATTCTATAGACATTCTATAATGGGATTGGAGTGTACTCATTCTATAGACATTCTATAATGGGATTGGAGCCTACTCATTCTACAGACATTCTATAATGGGATTGGAGTGTACTCATTCTACAGACATTCTATAATGGGATTGGAGTGTACTCATTCTACAGACATTCTATAATGGGATTGGAGTCTACTCATTCTACAGACATTCTATAATGGGATTGGAGTGTACTCATTCTACAGACATTCTATAATGGGATTGGAGTCTACTCATTCTACAGACATTCTATATTGGGATTGGAGTGTACTCATTCTACAGACATTCTATAATGGGATTGGAGTGTACTCATTCTACAGACATTCTATAATGGGATTGGAGTGTACTCATTCTACAGACATTCTATAATGGGATTGGAGTCTACTCATTCTACAGACATTCTATAATGGGATTGGAGTGTACTCATTCTACAGACATTCTATAATGGGATTGGAGTCTACTCATTCTACAGACATTCTATATTGGGATTGGAGTGTACTCATTCTACAGACATTCTATAATGGGATTGGAGTGTACTCATTCTATAGACATTCTATAATGGGATTGGAGTGTACTCATTCTATAGATATTCTATAATGGGATTGGAGTGTACTCATTCTATAGACATTCTATAATGGGATTGGAGTGTACTCATTCTATAGACATTCTATATTGGGATTGGAGTGTACTCATTCTATAGACATTCTATAATGGGATTGGAGTCTACTCATTTTATAGACATTCTATAATGGGATTGGAGTGTACTCATTCTATAGACATTCTATAATGGGATTGGAGTGTACTCATTCTACAGACATTCTATAATGGGACTGGAGTGTACTCATTCTACAGACATTCTATAATGGGATTGGAGTGTACTCATTCTACAGACATTCTATAATGGGATTGGAGTGTACTCATTCTACAGACATTCTATAATGGGATTGGAGTCTACTCATTCTATAATGGGATTGGAGTCTATTCTATAATGGGATTGCAGTGTACTCTTTCTACAGACATTCTATAATGGGATTGGAGTGTACTCATTCTATAGACGTTCTATATTGGGATTGGAGTGCACTCATTCTACAGACATTCTATATTGGGATTGGAGTGTACTCATTCTATAGACATTCTTTTATGGGATTGCAGTGTACACATTCTATAGACATTCTATAATTATTGGAGTGTACTCATTCTACAGACATTCTATAATGGGATTGGAGTGTACTCATTCTATAGACATTCTATAATGGGATTGGAGTGTACTCATTCTATAGATATTCTATAATGGGATTGGAGTGTACTCATTCTATAGACATTCTATAATGGGATTGGAGTGTACTCATTCTATAGACATTCTATATTGGGATTGGAGTGTACTCATTCTATAGACATTCTATAATGGGATTGGAGTCTACTCATTTTATAGACATTCTATAATGGGATTGGAGTGTACTCATTCTATAGACATTCTATAATGGGATTGGAGTGTACTCATTCTACAGACATTCTATAATGGGACTGGAGTGTACTCATTCTACAGACATTCTATAATGGGATTGGAGTGTACTCATTCTACAGACATTCTATAATGGGATTGGAGTGTACTCATTCTACAGACATTCTATAATGGGATTGGAGTGTACTCATTCTACAGACATTCTATAATGGGATTGGATTCTACTCATTCTATAGACATTCTATAATGGGATTGCAGTGTACTCTTTCTACAGACATTCTATAATGGGATTGGAGTGTACTCATTCTATAGACGTTCTATATTGGGATTGGAGTGCACTCATTCTACAGACATTCTATATTGGGATTGGAGTGTACTCATTCTATAGACATTCTTTTATGGGATTGCAGTGTACACATTCTATAGACATTCTATAATTATTGGAGTGTACTCATTCTACAGACATTCTATATTGGGATTGGAGTGTACTCATTCTACAGACATTCTATATTGGGATTGGAGGGATTGGAGTGTACTCATTCTATAGACATTCTATAATGGGATTGGAGTGTACTCATTCTACAGACATTCTATAATGGGATTGGAGTCTACTCATTCTATAGACATTCTATAATGGGATTGGAGTCTACTCATTCTATAGACATTCTATAATGGGATTGGAGTCTACTCATTCTATAGACATTCTATTATTGGATTGCAGTGTACTCATTCTACAGACATTCAATATTGGGATTGGAGTGTACTCATTCTATAGACATTCTGTAATGGGATTGGAGTGTACTCATTCTATAGACATTCTATAATGGGATTGGAGTGTACTGATTCTACAGACATTCTATATTGGGATTGGAGTGTACTCATTCTACAGACATTCTATATTGGGATTGGAGTGTACTCATTCTATAGACATTCTATTATGGGATTGCAGTGTACACATTCTACAGACATTCTATATTGGGATTGGAGTGTACTCATTCTATAGACATTCTATAATGGGATTGGAGTGTACTCATTATACAGACATTCTATATTGGGATTGGAGTGTACTCATTCTACAGGCATTCTATAATGGGATTGGAGTGTACTCATTCTATAGACGTTCTATATTGGGATTGGAGTGCACTCATTCTACAGACATTCTATATTGGGATTGGAGTGTACTCATTCTATAGACATTCTTTTATGGGATTGCAGTGTACACATTCTACAGACATTCTATATTGGGATTGCAGTGTACTCATTCTATAGACATTCTATAATGGGATTGGAGTGTACTCATTATACAGACATTCTATATTGGGATTGGAGTGTACTCATTCTACAGGCATTCTATATTGGGATTGGTGTGCACTCATTCTACAGGCATTCTATAATGGGATTGGAGTGTACTCATTCTATAGACATTCTATATTGGGATTGGAGTGCACTCATTCTACAGACATTCTATATTGGGATTGGAGTGTACTCATTCTATAGACATTCTATAATGGGATTGGAGTGTACTCATTCTAAAGACATTCTATATTGGGATTGGAGTGTACTCATTCTACAGGCATTCTATAATGGGATTGGAGTGTACTCATTCTATAGACATTCTATATTGGGATTGGAGTGCACTCATTCTACAGACATTCTATATTGGGATTGGAGTGTACTCATTCTATAGACATTCTATAATGGGATTGGAGTGTACTCATTCTATAGACATTCTTTTATGGGATTGCAGTGTACACATTCTACAGACATTCTATATTGGGATTGCAGTGTACTCTTTCTATAGACATTCTATATTGGGATTGGAGTGTACTCATTATACAGACATTCTATATTGGGATTGGAGTGCACTCATTCTACAGGCATTCTATAATGGGATTGGAGTGTACTCATTATACAGACATTCTATATTGGGATTGGAGTGCACTCATTCTATAGACATTCTATAATGGGATTGGAGTGTACTCATTCTACAGACATTCTATATTGGGATTGGAGTGTACTCATTCTATAGATATTCTATAATGGGATTGGAGTGCACTCATTCTATAGACATTCTATAATGGGATTGGAGTGTACTCATTCTATAATGGGATTGGAGTGTACTCATTCTAAAGACATTCTATAATGGGATTGGAGTGTACTCATTCTATAGACATTCTATAATGGGATTGGTGTGTACTCATTCTATAGACATTCTATAATTGGATTGCAGTGTACTCATTTTAAAGATGCTATATAATGGTATTGCGAATGTGTTATTGTTGTGTGCTCATTAGACGTTCTATGATAATATTGGGGTTTGTCATTCTATTGATGCTCTATGACCGTATTGGGGTGTGCCTATTCTATATACATTCTATGATAGTATGGGGGGTGCTCATTCTATAGACGTTCTATGACAATATTGGGTTGTGCTCATTCTATAGACGTTCTATGATAATATTGGGGTGTACTCATTCTATGATAATATTGGGGTGTACTCATTCTATAGATGTTCTATGATAATATTGGGGTGTACTCATTCTATGATAATATGGGGGTGTACTCATTCTATAGATGTTCAGTAATGGTACTGGGAGTGTATTGATAGTATGGGGGGGTGCTCATTCTTTAGACATTCTATGACAGTGTTGGGGTGTGCTCATTCTATAGATGTTCTATGATAATATTGGGGTTTGTTCATTCTCTGATAATATTGGTATGTGTTCATTATATGATAATATTGGGTGTGCTCATTCTGTAGACGTTCTATGATAATATTGGGGTGTGCTCATTCTATGATTGTATTGGAGTGTGCTCATTTTATAGACGTTCTATGATAATATTGGGGTGTACTCATTCTATGATAATATTGGGGTGTACTCATTCTATAGACGTTCTATGATAATATTGGTGTGTACTCATTCTATGATAATATTGGGGTGTACTCATTCTATAGATGTTCAGTAATGGTACTGGGAGTGTATTGGGGGATTGGTGCTCTTTGTCTTGAAATGATTTTCATTTAGTGCCCTCAGTGGTCGTTCTGCAGTTTGTTTGGACTAGGTAGGAGCAGGGAGGTGAGCCTGTCGGTGCCGATATGGAGGAGGTAGCATAACAGAACTTGAACATCTGCGGTAACCACACAGAGACCTAATTAGGAATTCAGACAACATGGGAATATGAAAAGCAGTGAGTCTTGTTAATTTGAATTACTTCGCTGTGCTACATGCTCTAATTAGAAATTCAGTATTAATTCCGGTGCTTGTACAGGGATCGTGATTCTCAGCCTGTATTATCTGTTTTCTAGTATACGGGACAGATACTGGGGGAGCTGGACGCCATGTTTGTGGATTTAATTTCCCATAATGCTCCTTGGTCAAACATCATGGGGAATATAATTCATAAACGTTTGCAGAGTTCGTATTACCCAGCATTGCGTTAGGAAGTCTGTAAAAATGGACAGAAGGAATCTTGCCATAAAGAGTGATAGAAAGATTGAAATTTGTTTTATTTTATATCTGATCAAACCAGAACCTGGTTGAAACACGTTATTCTTGTCCCTGTAATGGCTCTCAGCCATAAATCCTGAATCAGTGTCTTTATATCAGTATGCTGGTTACCAGAGGCGTAACAGGAAACCACGAGGCAACGGTGCAAAATTGCCCTTGGCTCCCATCCCCATACATTTACCCCACACCGCATATGGCCCCCCAAACATGCAGACAAACAGATACACACACAGACACCCACAGACACACATACATGTAGACACACACATACACACAAACACACATACAGACACACATACATACAAATACACACACATACACACAGAGATACATACACACACACACATACATACACACAGACATGTAGACACACACACACACATACACACATACAGACATACATACAGATACGCACACAGATATACTGAAACAGACATTCTCTATCACACACACAAATGTTAAAAACATTTATAGTGACTTACACGGGGTCCAGTGGCTGCCTCACGCTGATGGGAGACAGAGCTCCCACTCTGACTCCCTCCTCTCCTCCTGCACAGCGCTCTGTTGTGACGGCTTCTTCCCAGCTCTGACATCATCACTGGGGCCCAGTCGCGCTCTTAAAGCGCCGCAGCGCTGACCGGGCCGCAGGAAATCCATTGCCGTCGGGTGGCCCCAAGAGCATGGCCACCCGATGGGCTCCTTCAATGCGGCCCGGCGGTTTCTCTGCATGGTTGGGCCGCACCAAAATGCCCAGGTCGCAGGGGTCTAAAGGGCGGCCGGGCACCCTGGAATCATGGTCGCAGCTGCGACCGCGGTAGTTCTGCCAGTGCTGGTTACAGATCACCCACACAATCCGTGTTTTGAGCAAATATTCGCCCTGCGCTTTATTAACTAAACACCGAATTGTGGTGAACGTATAAACAAAGCTGTGACTGTCGCAAAAGTTGAGAATTTTTCAAACTCTGGCAAACAAAGAAAAAAATATAGAATTTCACACCACATAGTAAACATATTGTATGTGATGGACCTTAAAAAAAAAAAAAACAAGTTCATGATCCATCACCCAAACTATGTATAAGATAAAAATGGTGTCTGTGCGTAATATGCTGCATATCTAAATGCCACTAATGAACATCGGTGAAATGTCACGTGATCGGTCCGTATAGCTAATTTAAGGCAGTTGAAAGGCTGAATGTGACTCTTGACCCCACTGTTGTTTGTACGTATGGCAGCAAAGGAACCTAAACAAGGCTCACATTGAACATGAGCAAAAAAGGTCAAAGATCATGTATGACCTGAGGCTCAGCTTGTGGAAACTAATGTTGGTAAACGAGAGGAACTTTTTCTGCCCTCAGTTTCTTTGTATTGCGTTTTGCATTGTGTATAGTGATAAAATGTTCTCCTAGAACATGACCCAAAGGGCCGAGTGCTGAAAGGGGGTCAGTCAGTGCGGATATGCCATGGGTTTTCAAGGTGATCACATCGGTAACAATAGCGCACATGCCCATGAACCCACACATACTTCTTCTATGCTCCTGTTACCTTCAACACTGGGTCTGGAGGTGTTTTTATCACATTTGGATATTCATGGTTACAATAGCTGAAATGTTTATGGCAGCTTGTCCCCTGATTGTGAAGTAGAGAAGGAAGCTTTACCTTTTTTATGGCATGATTGGAAATTGTTTTAGGTCAAAAGCAGAAAAAGAAATGGGTGAAAGATTGAGTGTAAAGGGGTAACTGTAGGAGTAACCTCGGTAATGGGTGAAAGATTGAGTGTAAAGGGGTAACTGTAGGAGTAACCTCGGTAATGGGTGAAAGATTGAGTGTAAAGGGGTAACTGTAGGAGTAACCTCGGTAATGGGTGAAAGATTGAGTGTAAGGGGTAACTGTAGGAGTAACCTCGGTAATGGGTGAAAGATTGAGTGTAAAGGGGTAACTGTAGGAGTAACCTCGGTAATGGGTGAAAGATTGAGTGTAAAGGGGTAACTGTAGGAGTAACCTCGGTAATGGGTGAAAGATTGAGTGTAAAGGGGTAACTGTAGGAGTAACCTGTAACGGGTCCTCGTAGGCTCCAATGGTCCTGCCAGTGCTTGTGACTCGCTGCTGCTACATTGCTTGAGAACATCAGCTGACCGCTCCAATGGCTGCAATGCTGTGTGTGAAAAATGCCCAGAATTTGCATTATCCAGACGAGAACTCTTCTTCCAAGCGGGATAATGACGCCCTAATGACACAGCCGACACAGCTAAGGGTCAAACTCTGTATGTGCAGTGTTTCATACTAAAATATTGCGCACACAGACTCCAGGCACCATGACTATTTCAAATCGCTGAAGTGGTCATGGTACTTATAGTATCCCTTGAAATGGGAGCAGTCACTGCTTTGGAAACCACACAAATGAATAATAAATCACCTATAACTAATGTTAACCCTATTTTCACAAGCTGCTCCAATTTCAATTACACTCAGATAAAAATTATAGCAAATGACATCACAATCTAGTTCAATCAATGTGTCAGGTTACCTCTGGATGGTTTATTACGGAAAGGACTCTACTGACATCACAGCTCACCCCACCTGACTTTACAGCTTTCTGCAGCCGAGTCCACAGCCGAAATCTCTCTCTATATTCAGTGTACCTTGTTCTTTAGCGCCTCTTCATTCCTGGAACCCCTGCCTTGACTAGTTTAATTACTTTATTGGAATTTTCCTTTCTAGAATCTGTAGCTTAGCAATCGCATTCTATGAATATGCGCCGAATTAATAATGGTCTGGTTCACCCCTTCATAATATATAAAGAGGGCTGCAAATACATGCTCTAATTCCCTCCGATCTGCGCTTTGCACATTTCAAACACGTTTCTTCACAGTTAGAAACCTAGCCGTCCACATGCCTTTCTCGAATAAGAGAGAGTCCATATGAAATGGTTTTCCGTATTCTAAGTGTGAGTGGGCTCGTACCTCTTGTCTGTCTGTTTTATGTCTGGCAGGTAACGCTTTGATCTTTTCCAGAAATTCCACCTCGGCACGTCACTAAATAACACACCAAATATTTTATTTTAATCTTTGCTTATTAATAAATGCAAACCACAATGTCCCGTTTGGCAGTTTTCCTCTTATTTTCTATGTGTGAAAAATATAGATTATTTTTATACATCTTTACATAAAAAATTTTTTTTTTTTTTTTTAAAAGACTTCTTAGTTTTCTTCAAACAATTAAACAGAAAATACTTGTCAGTTAATTAGCTTGAAAAACTACATTTGGGATTTTTATTTCATAAACAGAAATAGCTTTTTGCAGTTGCTGAAGAAAAGGGGCTATGCAGTGGACATTCTTGACTCTTTTCAGCAGTGCAGTAAAGCAAGGCTGAAAGGCATGCACAAATATGACAGAGCCAACAGAGAAATTCTTTGATTGCAGATAATAAACCGTGATGTGTGTGTAATAAGCGGAGTTGCAAAGAAACCACTTCTGAAAAACCACCGGCAACCACATCAATGAGTGTAGACCTATGACTGCTCTTCATTTCAAGATAATTTCCTTTTAAGTTAAGGTTTATAACCCGTCCTTCGCCTCTTTGCTGTTTAGCACAAAAAAAAACAACATTGTGTTAATATTGCTGTGCCTCGAAGACCACAGGGTCTTTCTGTGTGCTTACCACGGGTTTCGGAGTCAGAGACATTTTACTACAATGGGGTTATTCAATAAACACTAAATTGTAGTGAATTTAATCGAAGGGTAAAACATACACGAAAATAGCGGAATGGCGAAAAATGTTCAAACTCCACGGTTTCACCGTTTAATCCAGAAGCTGCGATTTGGTTTTCACTTCACCACAATCCCCTGTTTGATGGATAAAGCCTAAAGGAAGGGAATTCTCTAAATTTCAAAACTGGCGATTGTGGAATATTAGCAAAATTCAGACGTTGAGCTGCAGCGTCCTTTCTGAATGTTCCGTAACGCGTGGCTTAGGAAATAAACTCCAAATGGTAACGTGTCATAACCTCATGGTGAATCCACTAAACTGAGAGGGAGCATTGGCCGGTGCCTCTTCGGCTACATACTGAAGTGGGATTGATGGTTTCTCGTATAACTTGGCGCAGATCTGATGGCTTCTTAGATATTTGGTGATACAGATATTTGTAAAGTACCATTTAGAGTTAAATGGAACTCTCTCTGTACATTGTAACAGCCTTAATAGACACACAGCACATGTCACTAGCAATAAGCGCCGCTTAGGCAGAGCCTGTGGCTCAGTGGGACTAAAAAGCTCTTTACAACTACATAAGAGGGCATTTAAAGGAACGGCAGATTTAAAAATGAAAAATCTCATATTAAAGTTATTTTATATATATAAATATATATATATATATATTTTTTCTTAAAAACTCTGGGAGAAGCAGTTTAAAGAAGATGCAAAGCTTTTTACAAAGCTGTCCCGGTGTTCTGTGCAATTGACAGTGCGCAGACGCTGTTTTTTGGTTTTTTTGGCGGACAGAAAACTCTGGTTACTTTTGACCCTTATAGGGTATAGAACCATACGGCTAATAGTAGCTCCAGGGTCTGTGACGGCTTCTAGAAGCTGCCGTAGATCCGATAAAAAACAAAAATGATACATCATCCCTGTATCTGGATTCACCCAGAGATCCAATGAGCAATCCTTCTTAAATATGAATTAGTTAATTTAAATTATTTTAAAGTCCGTCTGAATGAAATGGCAATAATGCTCACGTTTGGTTCATATCAGCTCATTTTGGCTATTTAATATTCGACTAGTCGCTATTCTTCATTTTCACACTGAAACTGCATTATGTACCTGTGACCTCTCCTGATTCACTGATTACCGATAACCAGGGTCTATAGACCCCAAAGTTTAATTATGCAGTCACGAAGGATCGTTCATTATTTATTGTGAGAAATTGTATTTGTAGATAAGTACATACTGTCAGATTTCTAATTTTTGGTGTTTTAGAGAATATATATATATCCATAAACATTGTTTGCCTATATCATATTGTCAAATATCAAGCACAGGCATATGAAGTCATTCATACTGCGCCGAGGGAGCTGGGTATTGTGTTATAATATAATAAGAATATCTATGATATTCTCAATAACTAGAAAGATTTACAGACAGATC